TTAGAAGTGCTGTTTCTGCCTGAGCATCGTCCTTCCTATAAGAAGGAAGTTTGTAATATCTGTTCAAGGCCAGCTCCTGGGGCTGGTAAGTGCTTCTGTTGCTCCTTGGCAGAATGGAGAAGCAGCTGGGAAGGAAGAAACCTGTAGTAGCTCAATGGGAGTCCGTGGGCTGCAGGTTTTTACACTGTATAGAGCCCGAAGTAGCTTGCTAGCCACAGCAGGGGGTCTTCAGCATGACCAGAGAGAGAATGGCTTGTAGTTTATGTGCTTTGTTTGTCAGGCTCTTCTCTGAACTGCATGGTGAATTTAACCCTCACTGTTCTTTGGTTCCCCAGTGAAACATTTTCTTTTGTGTTGACGGGTGAGGATGGCAGCCGCTGGTTTGGGTACTGCAAGAAGCTCCTGGTAAGCATCTGTGTATTGAGTGGAGTGTAAAGAATGCATTGATAAATGCACATTGATAAATGCACAATCAACTGCAGGATGTGAATCAGCAGCAATTTCCCATGTGGGTTACATAGCGACTGTGCTGCTGCTGAGGATACCAGCCGTTTGAATGCATGAGGGAGGGAGCACGATGATGCCCAGCAATACAGTGAAATGGGCTCTGGGCATGAAAGACAGCTCCTGCAACTGGTCATTCCTCAGGAATCCTTTTAAGTCAGAAGTGTAGAGGGAACTACAGGAGAAGAAATTCTGTGAATCAGCTACAGTGTAGGTACTAGATTCTTTATTGCATCCCTGTTCTCAGTATAACTCTTCCTGTTGCCTTTCAGCCAGAAGGGAAAGGGAAGCGCCTTCCTGAGGTGTACTGCATCGTTAGCCGCCTGGGCTGCTTCAATCTCTTCTCCAAGGTGAAGTGGGGAGAGCCTGTTACTTCTTATCAGACTTGAGTCTCTGACAACCTGCAAGCTCCAGAAAGTAACTGGATGCTTTTGTCCCGTTTAGAATTGCTTAGTGATTGTAACTCATCCCAGAAGAGTGGTGCTTCTTTGCCGCCTTTACTTATAAAATGGGCAAATAAAATGATACTAGTGCTGAGATGCGTCATCCGATACACAGATGACTAGTCCTTCAGCAAATTATTGTCAGGAAGTTGCTTCCAATACCTGATAGTACTGATGGTGCCCCTTCATCCTCTTGTTCCACGACTTGGAAATGGAAAATCAGTTTGGGGTGGGGAGAGGAGGTCTCAGCTTGTTTCTCCTAGCACCATGAGGAGAGTAGGTAAAGAGATAAAGATTGGGGAAAGCTACTGCCAGTAATGGGCAGCTATTGCAGAAGAATACAGGACAAGCTTATGATGAAACCTGATTTTCTAATTGTTGGAGCACAGAGTTTCTAGACAGTGTTTCAGAAAGATTTCTTGGGGAGGAGGATGGGGTGTTGCTCTTCTCACTCCTCTAACTAGTTGTGAGAATTTGATTACCACATATAAAACTTTTCCTTGCAGTAGCAGGAGACTGGATTTGAGAATGGAGAGTTGTACTCACGGGTATCTATTCCGTGATTGTTCAGACATTTAAGAGGAGCTTTCACAGGGATCCTAAGCAAGGGGGGAAGAGGGCTGTGAGTCTTCCCCGTTGGAGCCTTCACGTGTAGCTATGGCACAGGATACTCTAACAGAGGCTCATATCTCCTCTGGCTCACCTGCAGACATTGAAACAATGCCTGATGTATTTTCTTGCAGATTTTAGATGAAGTGGAGAAGAGGCGAGAGATGTCCCCAGCCCTAGTACACCCATTTATGCGTAGTGTAATGGAGGCGCCTTTCCCTGCTCCTGGACGGACAATTACTGTGAGGAGTTTCCTGCCCGGAGCAGGAAATGAGGTAACAGAAATCAGGACTGGTATTCCTGTGTCAATGGTGTCTCTGGGGCATAGTGGCACCTTGCAAACTGCACTGTAGAGTGATGCTGCCTGTAAATAATTAGTCTGAAGATAATGTCCTAAAGTCCGAAGGGAGGCTGTCACAGAAACCAACTTCCTGTTGAATCGTCACGTAGAAGTGATTCCCTGCTTTTTAAGGAAGAGCTGCTTGGGAGTCCTCTGCAATGCCTTGCACCGACTGCACAGGCCACGGGGTTCCACTTGTGAGGAGCCACCAGTTCTGCGCTCCAGCCGGGCTGCCCTTCGTCCAGCCTGGCTGTGCTGTGGCTTTCTCCTCCAGTGCTCTGCATCTCTGCTTGCCTCTCAGGTGATGGAACTGTGCCGTCCATTGGATTCTCGACTTGAACATGTTGACTTCGAATGCTTGTTTAAGTGTCTAAGTGTCTCTCACACGATTCGGGTCTTTGCCTCTCTCCTGCTGGAAAGGAGGGTGATCTTTGTTGCTGACAACTTAAGGTAAAAAATGAGTCCAAGTGACTAGTTCCTTCTGAGGGATACTATTTGTTCTTATGCGTTTGGGCCTGTTTAATGTGCAAGCTTGTCTAACTTTTTGTAAATAGTTACATTTAAAAGCTTTTTTCAGGCTTTCCATACAACGTGTGCATGCTTAGAATTTGGAGTGTGCTATTTACCCAAGAGGAGATAAGGGAATGTCTCCTTTACCTCTTTAGTCTGGGTTGATGCTATTCCTAGCTGCCCATAACTGACTCTAAAAGTGGATGCATGGGGCTTCTGCTGATGCATAAACAATGTACATGAATTATATTTTCCCTGAGCATTTCTAACCTGTGTCTGTAGCTGAGTACTGAACGAGACATTGACAATCCACCCTGTGCTTCTATTACGTTTCTAGCACTCTGTCTAAATGTGGCCATGCTGCAGTTGCAACGCTTTATCCCTTCACTTGGCAACACACCTACATACCAGTCCTACCAACTTCTATGATTGATATTGCGTGCTCTCCGACTCCATTCTTAATTGGCATTCTCTCCTGCTCATTACCACAGCTCCAGGACCTGCCCATAGAGGAGGTGAGAACTGGGTGAAGCGCAGTGGAGGGACAATGTCAGTGGTATGAGGCTGACCTCTCTGGAATAATCTCTATGGATTCTGTCTTAATATAAACTCTTAAACTTTTATGAGACAGTTGGTGAAGTTGCCAAATACATGTCAGGGTGTTCTATTGTTATCAAAGATAAATAATATTCACTGTTCTTATAGACAGGCTGCAGTTATGCAAAACCTGTGTTTCGTGCGTGACATCCCCTGCCACTGGGGACATTTAAAATAAAATTTAAAAAAGGTGGGTTATTTTCAGTACAGCAACTTACCTGGTTGTAAGAGTCAGTGTGTTTTGTACATCTTTCCCCAGGTTCTGATTGTTGATCTTTGTGCTGACAAGTTCTTGCAAGAGGTGAGTGAAGTAATGGTACCAGTCACTCATGGTTATATGCCAGGAAAAGGCATCAATGAAAGAAAATGAAAACAAGAAATCATCAAAAGCTAGTATTCATGTGTAGACTCCAATGACTGAAGAAATACCTTGCATTCCTTTTTCATCAGTAGAGAAAGGAAGGGGTTTACAAATCCTTGTTGCAAGATTGAGGCTGCATGAGGCACAGAGCTCTGCAAAACCAAAGATGCTGCTTTTCTCAGCTGAATTTAAAAACAGATACTTCATTGATTCATTATGTGAAATTCTTTGCTCTTTCTGGCTGTCTGTGTACTTGTTCTCGACAGGGCTTTCTCCTCTCTCATCTAGCTGGGGTGTGTTTGTTGGTTTTGTTTTGCCTTTCCCCCGCCCTGGAGTGATAGTCTAGGAGACAAATTATCGTGGTTCACTTTTGGTTCTCTGCTAAACTTTACCTAGTGTGCTTCTACATCACCAGATAAGTAGCTATAAACATACTGGAGTTATTACTAGTTCAGGAGGATATTTGCATCTCCTTTTCCTTGCCTTACTGTTCTATTTTGCATTGCAGCCTGCAACTGGAGAAAGGTATTAAAGCATTGGGTTTTTTTAAACCATAATGTTGAGACTTACCGTATTTTCTCAACAGACTTTTGTTGTTCTTGTGTGTTTTATCACTGGTATAATAAGCCTGAGTCTGTGCTATATCTGAGTGGATATAGCACACATTGTTATATGTTGGTGAGTTGTGTGTGTGACTAGTAGCACATAGTCAGAGGGTGCTGAGCAAATGTTTTTCATTCCTGTGGCTACAAGACAAATGTATTTTCTCCACCAAGATAAACCATATCACAGAGTAACTTCCCTCTTTTTTAGGCAAGTTACGAGTATTTCTCATCTGTTCACAACAAGAAGGTGCAACTGATGATACATAGAACACAAAAATGCTTTCATGGCCATTTTTCTCTTTAGGTATCAGATGAAGATGAGATCCTGCCTCATAAGCTCCAGGCTGCGCTTGTACAAATCTTGGAAGAACGAAGTGAAATCATGTTACATGAGCAGAGCGACACACAAGGTACTTCTATGGAAAAGTGTTTTCACATTAGCAAATCTCTACAGCTTCCATGTAGTTGATATAAAAATGAGTGAATAGAAATAAACATTAGGAAGCAATATTTTAAAAAGCTATTTTCCGGTGATCTTACTGAGAACATCTTTCTTGTGAATGTCTAAGCGAGAAGTTTGGTGTCCTAACAATTGTTCCTTTTTTCACAATCGGTGTGTGTAGAGCTCTAGTTTTTCTTGGGCCAAATGCATCAGTACCCATGCTTTGAGTTTTCTTTGATTTTTCTAAAGTGGCAGAGGGAACATTTTTCTTAGAGAACATAGCAAGTTTCTGTACTTTAGAGGGTAATCTGACATCTTTTTCAAAGTTGAACTGCTTTATACATAATCCATCAGATAAATGTGAGAATTTTAAAAAGCATTGAGTAGCTTGAGAGAATGGCATTGGCAAATGAATGTAATTTTATGCACAACTGAAGTAACAAAGTTAGTTTTCCAGTGGGTTTGTGTTCTGTAATTTGCCTAATTCTTTAGACTGTTACGAGCTTACAGCTCGTTAAAGAGTAGATGTTTGAATGGGGAAAAGAAGTTGACTGCTTTAACTACTGGAAGAGCTTTAGAATGGAAACTGTCTCAGCTGCAGCTAGAAGTTGACATGGGAGAGAAATCTTCCTTGAGCTGTGGCTTCTTTGATAGCAAATATTAATCTGAATTTCATAGTCTGAGACAGCTAAAAAGTAACTGCTGCTCCTCTTAGAAGAGGAATGACCAAAGTGATGACTGTAGAGGGAAATTTCTCCTCTGTTGTCCTCTTCACAGGTGACATGCCTCTTAACTCCCTGGTCTCTGAAGCTTTTGTGCAGTTTTTTGTGGAGATCGTTGGGCACTACTCCCTGCACATGAATGTCACAGAAAAAGGGGAGTGGGTATTTCAGCGAGAGGTGTTCCGTAAATCTCATGCGTCACGCAATGTACGTCATTTCTTGCACTTCTTCATGGAAACGCAGATGTTTGCAGGGTTCATACAGGATCGAGAGCTAAGAAAGAACGTGGTCAAAGGTGAGGTTTGATCTTACTTGTTTTGCAAACTCACTTTCAAAGTATAATGTCATGTGACTTTGACTCTTAAGAAGCCTTTTGTCCTGGCAAGTTATCCTGTCGGCATTTTGGTGTATATAATAGCTCCATGCCCTTCTAATTACTCAACAGAATTCATCTTATGAAGCAAAGAATTTTTACATCTCTCTCCTTTCTGGACTTAATCCTGCAGTTTACATTATATGCATGATTTCCTTTTCGTAACTTCCTTGTTAATGACGTAAGATGCCACATGCTAAAAGATGGAATAGCTCATCTAGGTGAGTGATTTTTTAAATTTTTTTTTTCTCTTTAGGCCTTTTTGAGGTCCGTGCCTTGGAGTATTTGGAGAGTATTCCAGAGACAGAACCAACTGGAATGAACAAAATCCTTCGAAGTCTTGGTAAAAGGACACCCTTGGTTTTGTTTGGTTTTGGTTCTTTTTTTAATCTAGCTATTGAACAAGTAATGGCATGCAAAAGAGCAGGGCCCATTCTTTGCCTTGTGCACTTATGTTCCTGTTGTTTACATTTGCTCCTTCAGGGGACACTGAGCAATTTGTCAGAATTTCCTTTTATTTTTAAGCTTTTGCATCTTTAGATAAAGTTTTTGGAAGTTGCCTAATCCTAGAGGATTTTAATCTAAACTTGTTTCATAACTTTGGTCTTGGCTGAGAACACAGTAAGGGGACAGAAGTCACATCTGCCACACATGAATTTCCACCTTAACAAGTTCCTCAGCCGGATGACTCCTGGTGTGTCTTCAGCTCCTAACCTTGGATTTTTCCCCGTAGGAAGTAAAATGAAATTTCTTCAGAAGAAATGAACGTGTGCTGCTGCGGGCCAGCAAAGCAGCGTCGGGCCGGGGGTTGCCGCCTGCCCCGCGGTGGAGCCGGACTCCTTTCTGCCTGCAGGGGGGCTG